CTGCTCGGTCTTTGTCCTCTGTCAGCCCATTTTTGCCCAAGAAAATGTGTGTCTCTGGCTGGCCTGGAACTCGATATACAGACCAGAATGGTGTAGTGATATATTGTGAACTCTAATAAACTTGCCTGAGGATCAGAGGACAGAGCCAGCCACTAGATTAGACATAGAAGTCAGGCCGTGGTGGCACACACCCTTAACCCTATCACTAGAGAGGCACAGATCCATCTGGATCTCTGTGAGTTCCAGCACTCAGGAGGCAGAAGCAGGAGGATCTCTGTGAGTTCAAGGCCAGCCTTGTCTACAGATCGAGTTTAAAGGCAGCTAAAGCTACACAGAGAAACCCTGTCTCAAAAACAAAAAACAAAACAGTCCGGCGGTGGTGGCGAATGCCTTTATTCCCAGCACTTAGGAGGAAGAACCAGGTGGACCTCTGTGAGTTCTCGGCCAGCCTCCTCTACAGAGTGAGTTCCAGGACAGCCAGAACTGTGTAAAAAGACCCTGTCTCAAAAAAACAACAATAAAAGCCCAACAACATAAAAAACCTGTCACAAAGGGGGAAAACCATGGTAACATCTGAGTGGGGATTGTAAATGACCTTGACTTCCTATGCACTGGGCACTTCTGTTTTCTTTCTCTGTGTGTCAATTCTTTGGTTGTTTTGGTTAAGACAGGTATTGAAATACAGCCCAGCACTCTGGAGAGGCAGGCACAACTCTATGGCCAAACTGTCCCAGTCTAGCCATGATAGCTAATGAGACCCTGTCTCTAAATAAATAAATAGTTCAAAAAAATAAAAATAAAAAGATAGCCCACGCTGGCCCTGAACTTGCAATCCTCTTGCCTCACCTTTCTGAGTTGCTGGGATTACAAGTACGAGGCACCAAACCTGGTTTCTTTCCATTTTACTTATTTATTTTTTAATTCTGTGTATTTGTGTGAGTCCATGTGGAGATGTGTGCACATGTCGTCTGCAGGTGCCCGGAGACCAAAGGATTACTGGATCCTTTGGAACTGGAGTGTCAGGCAGTTGTTAGCCACCAGATGTGGGTTCTGAGAGGCCCCTCTCCAGGCCCCTGGGCTCTTTTAGAATGATTTTAGTTTTACAGAACAATCCCGATTGTTTTCCTTCCCATACGATGATCTGCTCACTGAATTTCCGTCCACTCTGCTAGCTTCCCCTTCCCTTGCAGCGGCCCTTGGGTGACAGCATTAAGACTATGTCCACCATCCCCCCAGGGCTCCATGCCACCATTCGATCACGATCCGTGCTGCTGTAGGTTCCAGGCTCTGTCTCTCTCAGGGACAACTGCCAGTAATCGTGAAAAATGGATGGCATCGTTGTGACTTTCCTCCAACTGACACCTTTGTCTTCACACCAGGCACTCCCCCTTACACCTGTCAAAGGCTGGGTTCATTCCCTACAAGTTTGTTTCCTCTTCGAGTTTCCAAGTCCTGCCTGTCTGTTTCAGCTGGCACTGGTCACAGTAGGCACTCAAGAGGTACTTGTTAGACTATATTATAAACATCAATACTCCGACAAATCCAACAGGGATAAAGGACAGGGGAGGACAGAGGGAGGCTTCAATTCTTTGAGGCCAGGAGCTTTTTGTTGTTGTTGTTGTTGTTTTGCTGTTTTGAGACAGGGTGTTTGGCTAGCCTGGAATTTATTATGTAGACCAGGCTAGCTTTGAACTTGTAGAGTGCAGTACCATGGCTGGTTTTCTAAAGTTTGTTTTGCTTTGCTTTGTTTTTTGAGTCAGAGTCTCACTATATAGTCTAGCCTGGAACTCACTATGTAGACCAGGCTGGCTTCAAAAATGTAGCGATCTGCTTGTCTTTGCCTCTCAAATGCTAGAATTAAAGGTATGGACCACCATGCCCAGCTTTAAAAAAAAAATTTTTTTAATATTCTGAGAATCTGGGTATGGGTATATGCAAACTAACACAGATGCTGGCAGATGCCAGAGGAGTTAGGTTCCCTGGAGCTTGAGATATAGGTAGTTGTGAGGTGCTCAATGTGAGTGCTGGGGTCAATTCAGGGTCTTCTGTAAAGCGGTGTATGATGTAGTCTGAATTTTGTTTTGTAAAACAGGGTCTTGCTGTGTAGCCCCAGTTGGCCTCCAATCTAAGTAATCCTCCTGCATTCCCCTCCCAAGCACAGGGTGTATAGGTGTGTACCACCACACTCCATTCTGCCAGGTTTTTGTCTTGTTTGTTGAGACAGGCTCTCACAAGCTAGCCTTGACTAGCCCAGCCCTCCCTGTGTAGTTTCCAGGCTGTCCTCAAACCGGTGACAATCCTCTCGGCCCTGCCTTCTGGGTACTATAACGAGGCTCTGTCAGGTTAGGTTTGTATTTGGGTCTTTTGTCGCTGGTCTTTGTTTTTAGTCCATTTGCTTTTGGAGACCTTCTCACTTATAGCCTGGGCTGGCATGGAATTTGTGGCCATCCTGCCTCAGCCTCCCGATGCTGGGGGTCCAGGGACACCGCGTGGGCAGCTGTGTCACCTTGTATTATTACTTCCGGTTTTGGTTTGGGGTGCTATGTAGGACACCCCCAGGCTCAGTTCCCTCTCCAAACGAGCAAAGAGAGCCGATGAGGCTTCATCAGGGCTTTCGACACTAGAGGGATTTGGATTGTTCTGCTCTGTCCCTCTCTCGGGGTCTCCTCACTCCTGCTCACCGTCCCTCTGTGACTTCATTCTTTGTCTCTGGTTCCATTTGCTGCTTTGTGACTTCATCAGAGGGGCAGTTTAGCTCATGAGAGTCGGAGGGCTCCCGCGCGCCTGGTTTGTTCAGACTCAGCTTTGGAGATGGCTCTGGAACTGAGCTCTCTGTACCTCATCCTTGGAAGCAAAGTGGAGATCCACTTCCGGTTGGCTTCTACCCGGGGCAGGTGATGTGCAGTTGGCTTCTGGAGCAGCTTCAGAGAGGCCAAGGGTGTATCTACTGCCCTTTCTAGAGTTCCTTTAATGGTTAGAGTCTAACCCATGGCGGTCTCCCCACCTTCCCAGGCCAAGCAAAACAAAGTCCCATCAGCCTTAGAACTGCCCCAGAGGCTGGCACCAAGCCTAGAGCAAAAACCGGAGTCTCTAGGAGAGGAACATTCATGCATACTGAGAGCCACAGCGGCAGCTCAGACCCTAGCCAGTATCATCCGGCCGTGCTATGGCCCCTACGGCCGGCAGAAGTTCCTGGTGACGGCGAAGGGGCAAACGGTTTGCACAGGTCATGCCGCTGTCATCCTCAGGGCTCTGAAACTGGAGCACCCAGCTGCCCAGTTTGTCCGAGAAGCAGCCCAAACGCAGGCAGAGAACACTGGGGATGGCACAGCCTTTGTAGTCCTCCTGACAGAAGCCTTGCTGGAGCAGGCCCAGCACCTTTTGTGGGCTGGCTTAGCTCGAACCCAGCTCCGGGAGGCCTTGGCCACGGCCACAGCAGAAGTCCTGACAGCTCTGCCTTCCCTGGCCATCCGCTCTCTAGGGCCTTTGGAAGACCCATCCTGGGCCCTCTACTCGGTGATGAACACCCACGCCCTCTCCCACACCGAGTATTTAACCAAGCTCGTGGCTCAAGCGTGCTGGGTTAACAGGGAACCAAACGGCAGCTTCAAGCCTGAGCGCATTGGCGTGTGCATGCTGCAGGGGGGCACGCTGAATGACTCCCGAATTCTCACGGGCTTAGCAATATCTGGGAAGCCCTGTGGACAAAAGACCGAGGTGCTAGCCAATGCTAGGGTGGCGCTGTTTATTTGCCCCTTTGGTCCTACGAATCCATTCGCCCTGGCCACACCCCGTCTCTCCAGCTCTGAAGAACTACTAAGATTTCGGAAAGAAAATGAACAAGTGGGAAACCAAATAACCGAGCTGGCTGCCATGGACATTAATGTGGCCGTGGTGTGGGGGGAAGTTAATGAGAATTTGGTGCTCCAGGCTGACAGTTGCGGCATCATGGTGATTCAAGCCAAGTCCCGCAAGGAGATGGTCTACCTGAGTGAGTCGATGGGTACTCCTCTGCTCACGCGGCTGCTTCCTCCCCTGGAGCAGGGGAAATGCCAGAAGGTTTACAAGCGGAAGTTTGGAGACGGCGGCGTGGCAATGATGTTTGAGTGGGAAGGTGAGAAGTCACCCTTTTTCACGGTGCTCCTGAGGGGGCCGACCATGCAGGGACTTCAGGCTGCAGAGCAGGCCGTCTACTGTGGCATCGATGCGTTTTCCCAGTTGTGTCAAGATCCCAGAGTGCTGCCAGGAGCTGGTGCGACAGAAATGGCTCTAGCCAAAATGCTGGTGGACAAAGGGAGCCGACTGGCAGGCCCCGACGGTCTGGCCTTCCTAGCGTTTGCCCAAGCCCTGAGTTCCCTGCCTAAAACCTTGGCAGAGAATGCAGGCTTGGCTGCCCAATGTGTGATGGCCGAAATGAGTGGAATTCACCAAGTTGGGAATTTCCTCGTTGGAGTGGGAATAGACGGGGTAATAAATGTAGCCCACGAAGGGGTATGGGACATACTCAGGCCCAAAGCCCAAGGCCTACAAGCCGTGGCTGAGCTGGTGCAGCAGCTGGTGACTGTCGATGAGATCATAGTGGCCAAGAAGACGCCTGTCTATCAGCAGATTACAAAACCTACCTCGAAGGTAAAGGGATCCTCACCCCTGAAAGAGAAATTTTTTGGAAAGTACGTATAGCAACATGCTAAATAAAGTAAAGATTGTCCGGATTGAACAGTAACCCCCAAATACCGGTGTTTTTCCTTATTTCTTTCCCTTGTGTCTGGGGCTTCTAGCGCCAATTGTTTGTTTGTTGTTGTTGTTTTTGCTTTTTCCAGACAGGGTTTCTCTCTGTAACAGACCTGGCTGCCTTGTAATTTGATTTGTAGACCAGGTTGGCCCCTAAATACTAAGGCGTGTGCCACCATACCCATTAGAGCCAGTTCTAACCTTTTTTATTTATTTATTTATTTATTTTAATGTAGACCAGGCTGTAGACCACTGCCTGTAGACCAGGCTGGCCTCGAGCTCACAGAGATCCGCCTGGCTCTGCCTCCCGAGTACTGGGATTAAAGGTGTGCACTACTGCTGCACGGCCAGTTTCTAACCTTTTAAAAGATTTATTTTTGTGTGGGGAGGGCCAGTGCTGATGTGTGGGTATGAGTATTTTCATGTGTGTGCAGGAGTGTGTCAGATCCCCTGGAGCTGAAGTTACAGGCACTTGTGAGGGTCTATGTGGTTGCTGAGAAAGGAACTCGGGTCCTCTGGAAGAGCAGCAAGTGCTTTTAATCCCTGAGCCATTTTTCCAGCACTTAAAGTCAGGGTATAAACAACATAAAGATGGGTGTGATGGTGCAGGTCTGTACTCCCAGCATTGGGGAGATGGATGCAGAAGGATGAGCAGCTCAAGGTGATACACAGTGAATTTGAGGTCAGTTTGGGCCACAGAAGTAAGACCCTGTCTCAAAACACTAGGGATGGGGACTTAGCTCAGTTGGCAGCATGCTTGCTTAACATGCACAAAATCCTAATCCCCAGCACCACATACTAACACCTGGAATTCTAGCACTTGGGAGTCAGAGACCAGAAGAGCACAAGTTCAAGATCACCTTTCGCTACTCAGTAAATTTGAGGACAGATTCGGCTAAATAAGACCTTATCTCAGAGGAGAGGGAAGGATGGCGAGAGAGAGATTCTTTTTAGTAACAGTTCCATTCCAAGTCTTAACTTTTCTATTTCCTGTTTCTCTCCATCACACCTGTTTCTACAATAACAGCAGATGCAAAGATACAGTTCTAATAATTTCAAATAGAGTAGCTGAACTTTGGGGATGGAAAGAAAAAAGGACAGTCATCTTTTCGAAACTCTGAACATTCCTTCTATGGTATTAACATGTGTGAATTTCTGTCTAGACATCACTGAAACTCTGTAAAAGAACCAGTTCCAACTTAGAAGAGTGGCCAGTAATTCTCCAATTATCTGGGGAAAAAAAATGACAGTATCATTTTGAGACTACAAAAAAAGTTTTAAAAAACTATTGCAGGAAAATGAGCCCCAGAAGCAGGCAAATTTAAGAGGTATTTGTTTGTTTGGCTTTTGGCTTTTCAAGACAGGGTTTCTCTGTGTATCCCTGGCTGTCCTGGAACTCACTTTGTAGACCAGGCTGTCCTTGAACTCAACAGAGATCTGCCTGCCTCGGCCTCCTAAACACTGGGATTAAAGATGTGTGCCACCATGCCTGACCTGGCTACTTTTCTGTAGCCAAGGCTATAGAGAGACTCTGTCTCAAAACAACAAAAATTATGTGAATATGTATCTCTGTGTGTGCACACGTGTGTGCTACATGTGTGCAGGTGCCCACAGAGGCCAGAAAAGAAGAGGGTGTCAGATTTCTTAGTGGGTGCTGGATCCTCTGGAAGAGCAGCAAGTGCTCTTAATCACTGAGCCATCTCTCCAGCCACCTGTTTTGCTTTTCATGTTTTTTTAAAATCTATTTTATGTGTATGAGTGTTTTGCCTACATGTATGTACACTGCATGTGTGCCTGGTGCCCACAGAGGTCAGAAGAGGGTACTGGGTCTCCTATAACTGAAGTTACTGACTGTTGAGAAGTCCATGCCCATGCTCTGGGGTGTGGCTTTCTTTTGTTTTATCTGAGCACCTATTTTGTAGCCCTTACACTTATATTCAAAGTCTACATAAAATGTATGTAATTTAAAATTAGAAATCACGATAGAGAGATTACTCAGTGTTTGAGAACACTGGCTGCTCTTGCAGAGGACCTGGGTTTAATTCCCAACACTCGTAACCCATAATCATCTGTAAACTCCAGGGGCTCCAACACCCTTTTCTAACTAATATGAGGACTTTTTTTTTTTTTTTTTTAAGAAACCCATTCCCTTACCCATCATTGTATTGCCCAAATCATAAGCATCTCTATCATGGACATTATCAGAGGCATAGCCCTGTGATCAGGGAGAAAAATCTATTTCAAAATGGTTCTTTGTGTGTTGGCCCCGGGGCAGGCAAGACAGCCCATCAGGTAAAGGCATTTGTGCCAAGCCCAGCAACATGAATTTCATCCCTGGGATCAACATAGAGGAAGGAGAGAACTGACTATCCAAAGTGGTCCTCTGATTTCCACATGCATGCCCTGGCACACGTGGGAGCACACATGTGCAGGCGCGTGCGCGCACGCACACACACACACACACACACACATTCCTGTACACATGACCCCTCCCCAACACAAACGCACACACAAATGTCAAAAAGAAAAACTTAGGACATGTGAAATGAGAAGACGATAAAGGTGTCTGAGGTCATCCTTGACTACACGGCAAGCTTAAGGCTAGCTTGTGCTATATGAGACCCTATCTCAAACATTTTTTAAAATTTAAATATTTCAGCCATACATGGTGGCAGGCAGATCTCTGTGAG